TAGATTGTTGGGAGTGGATGATCCTTGTTTAAGATAAAATCTGGTAATGTTAGTTTTAATTAAAACAGGACCAGCGGCATAACTGTTGTCATGGCGACGACACGACAGGTGTCATTTTGTTTCTTTTGTGATGTACATTTCTGGTGCCAAGTTTAAAGAACACTGCTTTAATATTTCTAGAGATATTCTTGACTGAGTGTTGAACTGTTTTAATGGGACCACCTATGACGTCATCACTTATAATACAAAAACGTGAATATCTCTAAAACGAAAAAAGATATTCCAAAGAGGAAGTCACCACTCTTTTTCACTTTCAAGAGCCTTTCAAATCAGCAGCAATTATTTTTACTTCATAGGCACTTTAAGAAAATATCTCAAACCAAGAACTTTCCATATTGACTGAGTGATAGTGAAGACAATATGGCAAGGCCAAGGTTTGAGAATGAACGTTCGAGGTTAATAAGTTGTTTATTATATGGCTTTTTGCTTTGTCTTTGCAGTTCTGTGATTAGCCTGTGGGCATTAGGGGAGGACAATGCCCTAGAATAAGCCAATCAAAGTCTATGTGATATCAGCTACAGACAAAAGTACAATAATAAAGTGCAAAAATCACTACCAAAACCAACATTTGTAGACAAAAGAATGAGTTTTAAAAGTTAAAGGCAGTACATACAGCCATCAAAGGCTCCTCCACCATCCGACCAAGATATTTCTTTTTCTGTTCGTTGTTACCAGCTAAGATAATTGGCATTTCCTTGTGGAAAAACAAAATACAGTTATGAGTTTCACGTGTGTAAAATGATTGCCACATATTTGTTCAACTTATTGTAAAGGTATTTAACAAAAAAAAATTAAAAAGTAGCTTGTGAAATAAGAATTTTTTTGAACCCCTAACTAGATATTATACAATATAGTAATAATAATAACAATAACAATAATGATAATGATAATGATAATGATAATGATAATGATAATGACTTTATTACTGTGTCAATTACATCTAGCAGTGGAGAATCCCCACTGCTAATAGGGGACACTTAACTAGAACTATCTAAAAATAACATACAGAGAAGTCCTATAAGAGAACTTAAAATTATGAGTTACAAAGATGGCAGCCACTACATCCATCTAGGATGTTGTCTAGATCTAGCCTCCATACGTGGGTTTTAAAGGGACACAGTCAGCTGGCGCACATGTACATTAGATACCATTCCATTGCTAATTTGCAAATCATGGAGACCCCATCCATACCGTTTTTAACCAAATATGATAAAAATACCATCACAGGAGGAGCAATGGCACACTGAAAAACAGGTTTTTCAGTAAACAATTGAAAATCAAGCAAGACACTGTGAGGATTGAAACGGATTTCTAGATGTACTTTGATTTCAGGATGAGGTGAACTTTTTTCAAAGTGAGAAAACTAGTGTCCAGGTCAGTGTGGTCCCAAAGCTGACTGTGTCCCTTTAAACTGCTCGAGATTTATCCCCGATCTTTCTTTATTTGTTAGTTTGCTCCATAGACTTGGGCCTAGATATCGAATTGAATGTGCGTAGTTTGGAAATTATGCACTCCCAGGTAAAACTAAATTAAAATGAGACTTACTGCCAAAGAATTAGCTTCAATAGCTGTTTGAATTCCAGTACAACCATATGCCAGCTCTTCAGTTACTACACATCCATCCAGGACACCCAGGCCAGCTCCCCCTACAGAATGAAGCACAGATAGACCAAGTCAGGTAATACAAGAAATACGCACATAATATGTAAGCCTGCACTGCAAGTAATAATAATATTATTATAAATGTAATAATTTATAAATAAATACGCATGCTAATTGTTTTAAAAAATTGTGTTTATATTAAACAATTAAATTATGAGGTTGAGATTTCTATCGCGCGATAGCTGACAAAGGCGCAGCCTGAGTCAACTATCACACATAGAAATCGAGAGCGGATAATCTAATTGTTTTAGTATAAATCTACTAGTCGTTCAAAACTTTATCTAAATCCTCTTCACAGATGACTGTCATTTTGTTAACAAGCGCACACTGCTATGCTGCTCACTATCTATTCTGTGATATATAGTGAGGATTGTAGCAATTTGCGCTTGTTAACGAAATGACAGCCACTTTTCTGTGTTTTCGAAGTACATGCATGAGGTATCTGTGAGGAGGATTTATATAAAGAGGATTTATATAGATAGAAACATAGACCATGTTTTCTATTTCTTACACAATGATAACAGTCATATATGAACAAAGAAGTATATATATCTAAGAGAATAGAATCTTCAATGCCAAAGCTAGCAAACTTAGACCAGACCGGTTTCATCAAAGGGCACTATATTGAGGACAACATTTGCCTCATAATTGACATCATGAAATTTACTAAGAAGCATAACATTCCAGGCATTCTAGTGTCTCTAGACTTCAGGAAAGCTTTTGACTCCCTTGAATGGCCCTCCATAATGAGAACGTTGAACATCTTCAATTTTGGTACAAGTATTCAAAGATGGGTTAGTACCTTTTACAGCAACATAGAGATCTAGAGTGCAGCATCAAATAATGGTTTTTTGACAAACCGGTTTCGACAGTCCAGGAGTCCATCAGGGGTGTCCACTATCCCCATATTTGTTTATCCTTTCAACAGAAGTCATGGCCAATAAAATCCGACAAGCCCTTCATGTAAAGGGAATTGAAATAATAGGAAACGAACTGAAATTGAGCCAATATATGCAGAGGATACAAATCTCTTTTGTGCCGACCTGGCCTCTGTAGAAAAGGCCTTAGAAATAGTTGATAGCTTTGGTACGCTAGCGGGCTTAAAATTAAACTGAAAAAAAACAAAAGCGATCTGGTAGGGAAAATGGGAAAATAGTAAAAGCAAACCATTACAACTGAAATGGCTGCATAACCTGGCTAAAATATTAGGAATCATATGTCTCGTATGATGAAAAAGGAAACAACCAACATAACCTCAACCATAAGCTGCAAATATTGCAAACAAATCTGGACTTATGGAGGGCACGTGACCTTACACTATTTGGGAGGGTATTAATTATAAAATCTCTGGCCCTATCACAACTCATTTACTCAGCATGAAATCTCAATGTCCCTCAAGAAATAATGCCAATAATCAAAACCAAACCACTTAAATTTCTATGGAAAAACAAAAATGACAATATAAAAAGAGAAGGGCTGTGTCAAGATCAATTTAAAGCGGATATACGCATGATAGATGTAGAAAGCATGATTAAAGCACCAAGATTAGCTTGGATCCCAAGACTTTTTGCACCCGGAAGAAACAACTGGAAAACTGTCCCAGACTATTATCTACAGTGTAGGAAGATATGGAGGTTTGAATTTTCTCATAAGATGTAACTACAATACCAAATATATTGATGTTTTGCCAACGTTTTACTGTATATAGACATTTTTAAGTTTTTCAATGAATTGAAAACCCCGTATAACTATAATAGAGGACAGGATATGATCCTATTTAACAACAAAGAAATTCTCATTGGAGGGAAGCCCATATTCACCAGTGAATAGCTTAACAGCAATGTTCTGTTTATACAAGATCCGTTGAATAGCAATAGCCAGTTTATGTCTTACCAAGAATGTAAGAACAAATACGCTTGTGAGACAAACTTCCTCCAATTTTATCATGTTGTAAGTGCAATTCCGAAGCGCCTGGCCACAAAAGGTATACAACCCTGTATATGAGATACTATATCTACACTTGCAAGATGCAAACAAAGCTATTCACCTCCCTACTTTTGTTAGTAAAGTGTTTTTTTAAATATAGACTAGAAAATTTATCTTAACAATATTAATTAGATCCCCCATAATAATATAAGAGACAGATCATTGTAACATGGTAAAAACGTGTTTGTAACAATTTAAATAGTTGTAAACCCATGCAGATAATAAAATGTGATATATATATATATATATATAATAAAATGCTAAATAAACAAATAAATAAACTCACCAAATTCCTCTGGAATATGACCATTTACTAGGCCAACAGAATGAGCCTTCTTGAGTATATCCCATGGATACTAGTCATATTAAAATGAGTAAAGAAAACATCAGATTTTATACATGGTGGTATCACTGCATTTTAACCCACTTTGACGTACACAAGTATAATAATCTCTTGAAATCTTACAATCACATAACTTCAAGATTACAATGCACACATCATTTTTATTACCATGTAACATGTTGTATTTTTGTGTGGCTACAGAGAACCATCATCCACAATGAGCAATGTACAGCACTTACCAGTTTACAAGAAACAATCATACGTAGTACCATTACATGTACACCTACGATAGTAATGTATTGATTTCTGAACCTGTAGATTTAACTCAGTGAGAATTTTTTCCTCTAATAGAAATACATGTACTGATTTCTAGTTCAGAAAATAGTACCACCTTACCTCCCCAGTCTTGTCGTGATGAGCAGCAACTGGCATAATTTCCTCACGGCAGAACCTTCTGGCCATCTCTTGGAGTTGCTGTAACTCCTCAGAAAATTCTATTGGAGATCAAATTTGGATCACTTCAGAGATATATTGCGCTTGTGTCTTAAAGATCCTTCATAGAGTATGTCTTTGCTTGATAAATTTTGTGATATATATGTCATTTTTCTGATGGTCTATGAGAACTAAGAAAGATAGAGTTCTAAAGCTCCACATTCATATTCTGACAGTTGCCATTTCTGCCTTTCTGGTGGTTTAAAGGAAACCACAAGACAGTATGCAATTCTCAAAGAAAACTCATACAATTCCACATTGATTTATATTTACCAAATGAAAGGCCAGAATTGAATGAAGATGCCTCAAGCTTAATGGAGGCTTCTGAACTGAATTTGGCTCTCTGAAATAAGGAATAAACAGTAAAGTTAGTATGTGAATAATGTTCCATCTTACTCTGTTAACTTAGTAAATACTTTTCACTGTAAACGGATTCATCAAAGTCCATCAATTTTCCTTCCAGGAACATTAAATGAATGCTATAAATAAATAAATATCAGCACCCTTTCAACAGAAGATCTTTAGGGTCAAACAGTTGCACCCCTCCAGGAATTTCAGTGAGGTTTTGTACTTCCTTTTATATATGTTGGACTATTATTGTCGTTTCTCGTTACCCTCGTCCTCTGAGAATGGATATCAGGATATTTTCTGGAACCACACAGTAGTTAACTATGCATGAATTGCAAAAACCAGCCACTTACCAAAGCTGTAACTCCAGCAGAAACTACCCCCTTCTGCAAGAAAACCATATTTAGAACTTGTTTTGCAAAATTTAATTCTGATGAATAAAGCTATAATTCAACACTTAGCAAAGTAGACATAAGTTATGTGAATTTTTGATGTTCTCATTAACTGAATTTAATATGGGGGCTTCCACTTCTACAATCTGGAAATTTCACTATTTCCAGTAGGAGGAAAGTTCTCTGTACTTAAGAAAGCGATCAGGTAAATAAAAAAGAAAAAAATCAGGTAAAGTAAGGTATAGCATTTATCTAAACACGATTCTGACTCATTATACATAATTTTGTTACTTTTCTTTTGATACACTTGTGAGTTAAAAGGGGATAGGTCTTGCCAAACTTGGTCAAAACTCAGAAAAGCGCCTCTGGGAATTATACTGTTGATAGCTCCAAGCTTAACTTATGTAATATCAATTTCAAGTCACGCCAGCCAGGCATCACATTCGTTCAACTTTCGACGGAAAAGTGGCCGCGACTTATGCCATTTTGTTGCCTAATTGTAATTTGAGCTTATATCAATCAGCTTATCTGCATCTTATAATCAATAAACAAACTTATTTTAGCTTTATTAAATGCAAAGTGAGTTGACCTACACAACATGCCACTTCAAAACAGAGCGAGCTTTTTCTAGTCTATACCTGAAATTACGTTTAAAGAAAAGAGACTACGAGTAGAGCTTATATCTTACAATCTATTCCTTACCTGAAGCCCATAGCCAGCATTTCGCCGCAAAAGACTTAAACAAGCCATATTCTTTGCCTTAGCAAACGCTGCGTACAAAGTTCAAAGGTAGGTAATTAGCCTACGTAAAATTGCAAAATTTCTACAAAAGACTGGTAACGAAAGAAGAGACTGGTACCAAATTTGTGGTTTACCGCTGACCAAGTCCTGTGAGTTGCACCAAAGATGGCGGATGTACTAGAGAAGGATGGTAGAACTACAACAGAAAGTAACCAAGGCGCTTTGGCTGACGGTCTTATGCAGATTTTTCGACCAGCAGTTGAAGAACTGGATAACAAAGTTATAAGTGTGAGGTATCATGCTGTTGCTGTATCGTTCAGCAATGATAAAATCGTGTTTCAATAGGGCAGCTGCAAGAGTATTACTGTATAGTGGAACCACCAACGGGCCATGAAAATTTGGCCGTATTAACGGGATAGTGTCAAATATCATGACTGGTCTAAATTGAGTGACGTCTCAGGAAATATATCATAATTACACTTTCAAACAACTGTTCTTCAATAAGCATCCAGATTGCAAATATAATTTTACAAAAATTGAAACTTGAATCAGTACCTACAATATTAGAGAGATGAACATAACAGTTTGAGTGGTCATATAAATGTGGTAAAACTTTTACAGGTTGGGATTTAGAATTTGGTCATTGGCTTATTAGAGGGATGGTCACATTAACAGGGTTTTCTTATGAGAAAATATATGGGGCTTTTGCTGGGAGAGAAAAGTGGCCATGACAACGAGGTGACTGTGTTAACGAGGTAATCATATGAAGGGGATGACTATAAGGCAGGGTTCCAGTATAACAAAATAGGGACTACAGTGCATGGAGTTGTCATGAACTGTTACACTTAAAATCCACACCCCCTCCCAGTCTTTACCCTTACTCCTGAAGAAATCCACTAAAAATCTCTAAACCTTAAATTTTTGTTAACCTTTGAAGAACTCCATCCATTTACAGGTAGAATTGTGTTTCCCCCTCAATGCAAGGGTTACACAGAATGTCATTAATTTTGACCCATTCCGCCATAAGAAATTGGGGTAAAGAAATTTGTAGAGATTGTTTCCTTCCATGTTTAAGGGATTGGATTCTAAACCCTCAACATTTTCTCTAGCCATGAAATAAGTAGATATCACAATGCATGCAGAGTGTATAACACCTTTGCCTTCTATCCTCTCAGCCTCTGAAATAATAACTTAAACTTTTAACCACTAGAAAGGGGCAATGATTCATTTTATCTCTTGAAATCTCTGGAGATCAAAAACATATATACATATGCTGACCCTAAGTAGAATAGACCATAAGTTGAAAAGTGTCTTCCTAGCAACAAATGGAGATTAAAACACCACCACTGTTGACCGGTACTGTAACACAATATCTTTAACCAGTTCCTTGTTTATCAACTAGTTAAAGAAAACTTTTGATGATCTTGGTTTCTTGATGAAACCAGCTGAGATGTTGTGGTACAACACAAATGTGCAGAACTTTTTCTTCAGTATTTACTAATATCTGGTAAGTTTTTTTTCAGAAAAAGTCAAGTTGAACTTAGGGAACAAATTGACAAGTTAGCTCAAGGTCAGTCTTACACAAAAAGTACAACAAGGTTAATTGTAAACTGATTAATCTCAATAAAATATCTTGCCCAAGAACACAACACAATGACGGCAACTAGGAATCAGAACCAGATGACAATGCCTCAGTCGGATTTACTGTAAACTCATACTCTAACATATTAACTGTCAACTGGTGCCCTTTTTTAATTTATAGATTTGCATCGATTATCTGAGCTTCAAGAATTCCCCATTGATCTTGAACCATATGTCAAGAAGCTGATGAACTCAAGACGACGTGTAATGCTAGTAAACAACATACTGCAGAATGCTCAGGTACTGACTGTACACAAATACATTGATTAAGTAAAAAAAAAGAGTAGAAAAATACTGGCTTCTTTCTGAATCCAACTTGAATTCAGTCCAACAACCTAATCTGCAATCCACCTAATTTGAGTACAAAATTAATATTACTAACACTGTATTTGTACTCTTGCAGACCAGCTAAACAGGTTTTCTGTAGGCATCCTGTTTGTCCTGACTTTGTGACCCGTCCTTTTTATTTTGAATCAGCCTATTGGCCTGCCATAATTAACATTGTCACTGATGCAAGGCTCTTTAAAGAATTAACAGGGATACTACACACAATATAGCACTGACCACTTGTCAGTTGTTGTGTAATTAAGACATGTAGCCAACATAATGTTTTACGCCTGAATTTTATTGAGCCTGTGTAACTTTACAAAATGTACATTCATGTCGCCTTAATTAAGTTTGTTAGTATGATCAGAGTTCGTATGGGTCCTGGAAAACCTGGAAAGTCCTGGAAAAGGGCTACTGGTCCTGCAAAGTTCTGGAAATCTGTTAAACTCAAGTAAAAAAATATGAAATGTATGGCAGACAGTAAGGAGAATTAACATTAACATCAGGGGAGTAAAAGGGTTAATGTGAATTGTAGAGTCCTGGAAAAATCAATCTGAGTCCTGGAAAAGTCCTGGAAAAGTCCTGGAAATTTGTTTCTGAAAAAGGATACGAACTCTGTATGCTAATAAAATATCACCTCATCTTACCTCATACAAAGTTCTTGCACGAAGAGTGGCATTTGCATGCTCCATTTTCAGAGATGCTTTAGAAGGTATACCGTAAATTCTTGAAGTAGCGCTAGGGCGCTTATTTCAAATTTAGGAGAAGATGGGGGGCCCTTAATCGAGGCGGGCGCTTATATAATTTTTCCCAAATCGTACCCTAACATGATCATTTTTTTAATACATCATCTGCATGTAAACAACAACATAAGCTGTTTATCGACGTAAAAAGCTGATCCTAAAGTTTAAATCGGGGCACCATTAGCAATTCACAAACTGAAACAGTGTACAAATCTAATACTACACGACGAAAACTATACATCCTTTGCTGTCTCATTACTCATCCACAAAATAGGGGGAGGGGAGGGGACGCTTATTCGAGGGAGGGCGCTTATTTCAAAATTTTGGCCAATAGGAGGGGCACTTATTCGAAGGGGGCGCTTATTCGAGGGGGGGGCTCTAATTTGAGGATTTACGCTATATTTATATATACATCTATGGTACATACAGGTTTTTGTACTCTAATCACCAAAATGACTGCAAGACTTAAAACGTTATCATGTAATCCCATGATTACATGTAATCGCATGCCCATTTCAAGGCCACAAATTCAATCTTATTTACACATGAATGGTTGGCAACAAATTTATATTGTTTTAACCAGAAGGGTGAGGCATGCATAAATAGTTAGAAAATGGTTTTCATTAGATAATGGCCAATTTGCAAACAGAGTGAAAATATTCTGTCAAATGTGGCTACTTTTGTATGAAATCATAATTACACCATTCCAATGCTATTATTGTAATATTTTTCGTCAGGAAAGACTTGGAAGATTGCATCAGAGTGTTACAAGAGAGACTGCCAAAAGGAAAGCGTTACTGGAGCCTTCGGAATTTTAGTACAAATCATGAATGGAAAAGAAACTGTAGATAAATACTATACAATATACGTATTATCTAAAATAAGTAGTGACCAATACACTAGTTTAGAGGTGGCTACGTCACACGATTTAGCCAAGCTTATATAATACAAAATTATACATGTGAGGAAACTTTGAATAACGGAACATTCTCAATATGAAACGCATTGCAAAACATTAACTTGTATGAATCTCAAGTTAGATTCTAGTTTGTTCGTATTTATGGCTAAGATTTAATCAAAAATTTGTTTAAGAATAATAGAATCAAACCCGGGGCTGATCGGTTTCATAGCCCTTTCAGAAAATAATGATGTTCAAAGTTATAAACAATATCAAAATGTATTCCTACACATCGCATAGCTTTCTTCAGGAATATTAAAATGTGTGAACAGTTGTCAACAGGTTTGCCTTCTCTGATATGTCAGTCTGTATATTACACAAGCTCGGTCACGGTATTTTGAGTTATTTTGGCTACGCACAAAATGATTACATTTCAATTGAAGGAAATCTGAAAAAAAGTAATTCACTAAGATAGAAAACCACCAAAGAGATTATAATTAACCATAAATGAACAAAGATGGTTAAGGATGGAGAAGATTAACACGGATTACAAACGACAAACTTGAAAAATTTTGGCTGAACTTTTGAAGATGCGCAAACCGTGACGTAGCTCGTTTAAGTCCAGTTATAAGTAATTGTGGTATCAGAGTCCGGTCAACACTCTTTCCCACTGTGCAGTTTTTCAGGATTTTCTAAAGTTATGAAGGACATCGCTTTATAGCTGGAAGCTGCTAGAGGGGGCAGCTGATTTTGTTATCTCTTTGTAACGAATCACATGAATGGCTCAATAAAGTCACCAGTGTAGACGGTAATTTTTGTCCATCAGCCGCCTACTATTGACAACCCGATTTCATAAAGTAGATCTTAGCTCAACTCCAATTAAAATGCAGTGATTTGTTATTTGATTTAGAGCTGAACCAAGCGCTTGGTTTAAAATCTCGGATTGTAGAAAACAAAAAAACAAACAAACAAGAAAACGGAAAAGCCAAAAAAGAGCAACGACTCGTTCGTCCTGGTTTTTTGCTTGTCGGCCATCTCAAGTTTTCCTCACAAACTCTCGATCGGGGATCAAAACAGGCCAAGGGAGAGGTTTCGATTAGACGCACAGTCTTGAACTAGATAACAGAATCGGAAAAGTAGAAAATTGTTAACCAGTAATACAAATTGAATGTAGTGAATACAACAGAAAAGAGCTTGAGTGATAACTCATCTACACCAACTATGAAAGTTTCACAATAAATGAATTCTCGAACACTGTGCCTTTTTTCAGCCCAGTTTATCTGTGTTTCAGACATTGAAACGTGCAAGGAAACATTTCCATCTGAGTAGTTTCGGGTGCGTTCATGCTTGTGGCTGGTCGAGTTTGTGTTTCCGTTCATCAGCTCCTCGTGAAGCCTCTTTTCCTCTAGTGACATAGTTGATTGCCTTTGCTTTGTGGTACCATTTTGTTTTGTCGTGTGTCCATTAAACTGCAAGTTCAAAAATACCGCAAAAAATCACTATCCTAATGAGAGTAAAATCGTTGCTTGTAGCATAGGGAGCCCGTCTGAGAGTTGGAAAAGGTCCAACGAACAAAATTCGTTCCCTCCCCATTGTTTTTTTGTTTTTTTGTTTGTTTGTTTGTTTTAACGAAAAGGGCCTTTGTCGCGGCTCCTGTGTCCAGTGTTCCAAGTCTACCCTCAGTGGCTCCATCAGCGGAGCATTGGTATCGAAAGTAAGTTACGTATTCGTCCCCAGTCCTTCCTTGTAAGAAATTTGTAACAGATCAAATGGTGACCGTGGTATGTAACAAGAGCTCTTACCTCATTCTTCTCTTTTTCAAACTTCCGTTTTCCTCGATCAAGAAGAAGAACAATTGCATATTCCAACAGCGAACAGAACACAAACAAGAAACACACAATCAAGTATTTGTCAATGGCTTTAACGTAGTTCACCTAAAACAAAACAAACAAAATAAAATAGATATTAAAAATTGACGATATTTCGATCGGAAAAATACCTAATTTTAACCCAAGATGTATGGGTTATTGACTAAGTGTGAGGCCAAGATGGCTGGATATTGGCCAAGTTCTTTTCTTGCGTTTTCATGGACCGAGACGGAGTCGAGGTCCATAAACTCGCAAAAAAACAACCAGGCCAATATGTATGGGTTATTGACCGAGTGTGAGGTCAGGATGGCTGGATATTGGTCAAGTTCTTTTTTTGCGTGTTTATGGACCGAAACGGAGTCGAGGTCCATAAACGCGCAAAAAAAGAACGAGGCCAATATCCAGCCATCTTGGCCGAACAAGCTTGGTCAATAAAGGATTTATTATATGGCTTTCAGGGAAATTTTTCTTGCGG